TATAAATACACTAAACAGCTTAATGACAACTTACCAGCTCGCATCATACAACTCAAACACCAGCATCCAGACAATCAGAACACTGACATGATGTGCAAAGCACTGATCTTCGGCTGCATCGCAGCACTAATGCTTGTGACTGCAGCTTACGGAGCAACTCTATCAAGAGAAGAGGAGATATCTATCAAGGAGCAACTTCTTAACACTTTAATAGTAGATTTAAACCTCCTGGAACAAAGCAAGGATGTAAGTGGTTGACTTTCTTTTATAGTAAGATCTTTTTCGATTTATCTTTCCTATTTTTTTTCAATGTATTTTTTCAGAAAAATTAACTTTTTCTCCCCCTTCTCTACAGAAGATTCATCTTGACCTTTACACACCAAATGAGAAACAGGTGAGTTTAAATCTGTTTCCAGAAGAATTTCTACAGTACGGCTACTTTAAAATGATATATTACTGAGTCACACCAAAACAACTGGCTTGTCAGAAGGGCAGATATAAAAGACAAACCTGAACAGTTTAAGTTCAGTGTAGGGAGTGCAGTTTCTTAAAGACGCTTCTGGTTTTGATTTGTATTCTCAAACATTAACAGGCTGATGTACAATATTACCTCACAGTTCTGTGCAATATGTAACATAAAATGAATCCTCCCTATTTATTCTGCTTAATACACAGTTGAATTCAGAAGAAAAAAAATGTTTTATGAATCATTTAAACATTGCGTAAGATTTGCAGGAGGCAATACTGTTCTATTAACACTAACACAAGAAAAATGTTGAGAATGAAACTAGAATTAGAAATAGATTATCTATATGAAACTGACCATATTTTATCTAAATTTGATAATAGTAGATACTATTTAAGAAGTTGTAAGTCTTCTACACCTCACCAATGATGAAACTCAGTTATGCTCTACCTAGTATTTTTCAGGAACAAAACTTGATCAAGTCATTCTGGATATATCAGCTATAAATTCACATTTTATGGTATTTAGTTAACACTTAAAGATTTAGTTCCACATGAATACTGTCTTTGTGGTTGCTTCTTTCTAAAAAAAAAATGCACATCAGAGTGCAGACAGTGTTCTAAGTACAGCTTTACCACAGACTATCATTGACAGGCTGCTGATCTGTACTACTTTTCTTTTTAATTCAGTGTATACCAAGGAACAAGAACATCAAGTTGTTTAGTACTGGGAAGTAGTTAAAATCTTTATGCAAGTTATCTGTTAACTACTTTGAACCTCCAATTAAGTTTTTAATCCAGAAGAATCCTCACTTAACAGTAACTTTGTTTCAGTAAAGATTTAAAGCCAGATTCTGCAACCACTTCCTTATCTGAGTCATTTTTCTCATACGCTGGCAACATCAAGATGTAACTATCTCAGAGCTCCAGTGCTTAAATGCAAATGTACGTGGCTGATTAACGATACGAAGCTGTAGTATTTGCTTCTAAACTGAGCCTTACTGCTGGTTCCAACACTCCAAGTGTCCTGTAAAGTTGACTCACGTTTCAAAAGCTGTACTAATCTACAGACCTAAGAACACATGTAACGTTTAAGGGGAACAAATGAACTATACTTTGTAGAAAACAACAGTGTCATTACTGATACGAGGATAAAAACAATGGGCAATTGAGATTTTTTAAAAATTGAATCAACTGTCCTCAGGAAAAAAGCTATACATATATAATGATTTTGCTGATTGTTTTAGGAGTGCAGCTGGCAAACTCTACAATGTTACCTGTCAGAAATAGGCACCGTGGAGAATGAAATTGAAGATGAGGATGCTGATACTCTTCAAAATATCCAAAAGAATCTCCAGAGTCTTATGGTAGGCAATCTTTCTATCCAGTTTAAAAAGAAAAAAAAAAAAAAAAAAAAATAACACTCAGTGAGAATGAAAAACAATGCCAGAATCAGCGGTTTTACACCTCAAGAGTCTGTGTGTTATCATCTCTTGAGAATACTAGATTTCATACAGGAATATTATAACATTGGACTATATGACAACATCTTTTTGCATGATAATCCAATATAGTAAAACAGATTTGAGCTCTACTAGTCATACAAGTCAACGTTTAAAAATTATGACATTTGTTTTCTTTACTGAACAATTTAAGGCATGTTAACGCTGACAAAATCTTGCTTTCAGGAACATACTTTACACAAGCAATGGCTTTGAAAACTGTGCCATAAACTTATGACTGTAAATGACCAACAATGAATGCAGTGTACCTTGATAGACTACATAAACAAATTCCATGGCTAAGAGATCCTTGTATCATTTCAGAAATACTCTTCAGGCCAGAAATCAAGATTTGCCTCTGCTGCAGTATTTATCATACAGAGTGAATGTTTAGCTTCTAGTATTTTTACATTTACAAAAATCTCAGTTATTAGCAGCTTCTTCATCATAACATCCTTTAACACTTACGAACTGAAAAAAGCCAATCCCCTGAAATATTAAGGGTTGTTTTTTCTTAAAAGAACTTAACATACGTAAATTGATATGTTATGCTAAAACTAGCTGGCAAGAGAGCTATCACCAATCAACAAAAATATCTGTATTGCAGAACCTAATTCCCCGAGGAACTGGATGCAAGATCTGTGAAGCTAATGACAAGAAAAAGTTTCCTGCATTTCACCAAGAACTCACCAACTTTCTGAGATCTATGCTAAAATAATCAGATAACCATTTTTATTTTTACTGCTACATTATTTATTTAAATATTTAATTATGACTAATTTATATATTTTGCCCTGTGGCTTACTAGCTTGCTGTCCATTTTGGGACCACTGTATGTTCTTAGTCTGAGTGATAAGACAGTCTGTTCTAAGATCACATTTGATCCTTTCTGTAAGCCCTACGGGCTCAAAATGAACTTTGGAAAACTAATTGGTTCTCACTTTGTCAATAAACTTAGAGACACAACTATTTATTGAAAAAACTATTAAGTTACTTGTAGATGATATTTAATAAATTTCAGTAACATAAAAATCACGCCTAGACTCTTCTTTGTTAAAAGATACTGGGTTTTTCACTGGCAACTTACTACTCTGCTTTTTTTTTGAAACACAATTAAAAAAAAAAAAAATCACATAAAAAAACCTTTACCAGTATATGAGCATACAGGTACCAGACTCAAAACAAGACATCTGCAGATAATCTTTTTAAAGCAGTATAAAATACCAGTTAATGCTGGCATAAAGCACAAAGCACAAGTTATAGAAGTACTAGTACCAAGTTGCTTACTCAAAAAAAGAAATCCAAAACCCCAAACTTTTTTTTGTGAGCTGTCCTACTTAGCTACATAGGCTTTCTGCTGTATTTTTTGCAGGATACGTTTTTCTTGTTGGTGTAAGCAAAACACGTAGTTCTCAAAAATCTTCAGAGACAGAGAAACATCATTAAAACAATAACACACCTGAAATAATAACTATGCAGGTAACTGAGGTACCAGTGTCCGAGAACACTTACACAGCCAACTCTTTCCAGCAACAACTGACATAAAATTGATGACTAATGTATAAAACCAGGTGAACATATACTGCCTTAAGTATTCACAAAAACCTGTTTGTGGAACCTCAGCAATGTGCTTACTTTAAATGAAGATGGAGTCGGTCATGTGACATTTTAAGTTTTATGCAGAAAGAAACAACTAAGAGGAGCATCTTTTACAATCCAAAACCTACCACTCAATGCTAAAAACATAAGCTGTAATTGATGAAAGTCAGTCTACTACAACAGTTATCAGCCTATCGTTTAGTCTTTGATGTGTTTTGCTGATGGGTGTGGTAAGGACTATTTCAAGTTACACTTAAAAACAGGCTAACACAGTTTTCTTGACTGCTGCAAAGAGAAAACAGGCGTTAAGAATAGCTTTCTGCCAAAACTGGGAAAATACTTACTGCGCTGGTATCTGTTGCTCTACTTAATTGTCGCTTCCCACAGTGAAGGAGTGCTCTGTCCCCACCCACAAGGACTCAGAAAAGCAAAATACTGTCAGTCATCCCAGCCACAAGCAGATCAGCTCCACCCTCTTCTCAAATCAGATGCCTTCCTAACAACAGCCTGTAACAACAGTAATACCTAAATACAGTATTACACAGAAGAAAACACGCAAGAAATTTATTCATAAAAATTCCTTCTGCCTTGTCCATCTTTGTAAAACGATGCTTCTCTTTACACAGATCCTTCTTGATAAATTCTTAAAAGCAGTATGCAAAATAATGAAAAAAAAAATCTCCTTTAAACAAAGTGAGACATAGTAAGCACTGAGCCTGTGAGATAAAAGTCAAAGAGAGACTAGTCTTAAAAACACCCACAAGGATGTAAGAATGATGTGAATTCTACAGACTTCTGACTACTACTGTCAACTGCAGAGGAACTTCAGTGTGCAGAATCTTGCAAGACCACCCATACCAAAGCGACCACAACAATAAAACTGAGTAAGGCTGAGGTTGCCTAGTGGTGACGCTGGTAACCTGCCAAGTCAAACCCAGAAACTCCCTTGAACACGTGCTGGACTCCCCACCAGGTCTGTGCCCGAAAGGCAGCATGGGAAGCTGGTCTAAGGGGGGGCTGACTTGCACTCTAACGCTGAGTACTAGAGAGGGAATGGAAATAGAATTATAGTTCAATAGTAAAGATGGTCTTTGATCATATAAACTGTGTAATAGATTTACAGTTGTAAAAACATACTAAATAATGTAATCGTAACTCAGTAACAGTGGTGTGGTTTTACATTATCCACTATTTCACCGAGTTTTTCCATCGGGTGACTTAATAAACATGATAACCTTTTGAATCAGTTGCATCTAAAGCCTCTCATCTACAGCAAAAAGCCACACCCTGAAGTAACAGCATCACACGTAACACGTGGCTTTGCAGACGAACATGCTCCAGTATCAGGTCAGGCACGTTTATCCGCATGTTTATGCGCGCTGCTGCCCCACCTCTCAGCGATCAGAGAGGGTACAGGAACAGTTTTCATTGTTAATAAACAAGGCTTCCGTTATGGCTTGCTTAAACATGAAAAACCTCAACTCCAAAAATTTGGTAAAACCTACCTCGAGCTCAGTCCATGCAGTTGGACACCCCACGTGGAATAGCCAAGACCTTTTCTAAGTCTCTGAACAGTACGTGTTTGATAAGGTAGGAAGTCAAGTACTTCAAAAACCAAGAAACGATGGTAAAGAGACAAGCACCCATGCGTTCATAAGGACAGATAGAAGTCCCGGCTCACTAACAATTTCATCAACGAAACACATGCAGTGTGAAAACATATGCGAGTGGTTTTCTGGGTTTTTTTTTTGGTCTGCACAAACTGCTTTGGAGTTGGGCTGCACTATTCTGAAACAGCTGCAGGTTTACAGTCATGAGAAGTGGAGCCTTTGGCTATTCTGGTGGCTAGTTTTGGGAATTGTCACATGACTTTTGTACCGTAGTCATGCTCTGCTGTGGATTTTCAAAACATTTTCTGGTTGGCTTGCTCCCCGTGTTAGCATCTTCAACAAGCGCTTCAGGACACCTTTTCAGAGAAGTACCTGTTTGACTATAAAGGCTGCTGATGAATCCAGCTAGTTGAGGCAGCAGTAGGAGGAAGCTGCTTGTGTTGCACATGCTTGCAGTCATGAGGCCGCCTAGATTCCGATTAATGTCTTAAGTTGATGTTTCAGTTTCAGCCATACATAACTATACCTTTCCTAAAAAGTATGTGAGATGTGTGCAAAGCATTTTGCATGTAGCAGTTGATAACATGTCACACAAACAAAATGCACACTGGCACAGCATGTAAACACTCTCATGCTGTTCTCTAGAAAATCTAAGGCATAGTGAAAAAAAACCCTTAGCAGCAAGTATTGCTGCTTTCACGCAGTGTTATTTTGCAGTACATAGACTTCATATCATAGATGCACACTTTCTTTTACGTACAGATTAACAGATCTAAGCAATACTGTTAGACTAGCACGACATACATTTGAAAGATGTAGCTTAATATTACTATCCGAGTGGTTAATGGTGAAGTATTCGTTTCACTGGAGTTAGAAATAACTGCAAATACATGCTCTTTTAAATGACAAGTTTCTTGACTAAATTAGGTTTCAGAGAACAAGTTCTGAGCAAAACAACACAAAGATGAAGATTTATGCTCAAGTCGCTGTGATTTTGCATTCTGTAAGGGCCACTGAATGACAAAAAGCAGCAACAGAAGGTAAGCATGGCAAACAACAGTACTGCAGCAGAATCGTGCCAAAGACTGTTGCCGTGGATCCAGGACACACAGTAGTGGTCACCACACTTCTGTGTGCAGAGGTTTGTGGATTGCCACGACATGGCACACAGTAAGAAGAGATAATGCTGAGTATAACATAAAAGGTAAAAGCTTAGGCTAAATAAAAAATATACTGTCGGCAAAACAGAGTAACTAGCATAGCTCCAAGGACTGTGACAAAAACCAGTGTACTTTTGTTCAAAAAGTCCGTAGGAAAAAAAAACACAACGAAGATCTCACTAAAACTTGTACAACATTTGCAACATACAGATTGGATCAATATTAATACAGAATGCAACACTTATCAAATTCTAAAAAAAAATCACGTTTCATTTGATGAAACTAGAAGTGTACTTCCCTCCCCATTTTTTGATACTGTAGCTGTAGTCCGTTTGCTAGCCCTTTTGCCTTTTGTTAAAAAACAAGAGAAAATGTAAGTTTTAAAAACATTGATAAAAATTCTACACACAACAAACTGTCCATAATTTTTGTCTGTCAAATTTGCAACTAACTATAGGTAGGTTCATATACTTCAATAGTAGCTGCAGGATCCACTCCTGTATTTGCCCAAGCTTTAAAAGAAATCTTTAGAGAAAAGGGATATTACATTGAAAACATCCGAAAACGCACAGCAAGGTGAACTTTACTGTACATACCTTTTGCTGCAAGTTGTAAAAAACCTCAGCAGAAGCCCTTACAATAGTACTTACAAAAATGAATTTCCTGAGCAATCTTCTCCTGCTTGATCTCACAGCTTTAATATAAAATGCATGAGCCACATGACGTGTATGATATGTACATGATATGCATGTCCCACATGTGTATGAAACCTGAGACGTATGTGACATCTATGGGACATGACACCTATATGACGTGTATCTGATATGTATGACATACGTGTGACGATGTGACACCAGAGATGCGATACATGTGAGGTGTGCACAACATGTGACACGACACATATGACATGACATGTTGGCACATGACATGTGACACTTCAGATTTGATGTATATGTCAGATTCAACACGTAATATACCTTTAGCACGCCACACCGTCAGATTCGATGTATATGTCAGAATCAACACGTAATATACCTTTAGCACGCCACACATGTATGTCAGATTTCCCATTTGTCACTCGTGACATGTATATGTGTATAGGTATAGTGAGTGTGTCTGTACGTGTGTTTGTGTGTATACAGACAGAACACGTGCGTGTGCACACTCCCCCCACCTATGCACGTGTACACCCGTTCTCACCAGCAGACATCACTTCTTCTCAAGCAGGGAGAGGAGAGGCTGAGCTCTCAACCAGAGGCTCTTGGTGCTGTTTGTGTTCACACGCCTCTCTGGTCTGCGCAGCCAGTATCTATGATGCACAAGTGCTCTGTACGCACGTACCTGTTGGCAAAACGTCTTCAGCCTCATTACTGGAACTGCAGCACTCTTGCCTCCGTCAAGCTTGTAGAACCATAGATTTTGGAATGACTGAAGTAGCTGAGGAAAAACCTGGACAGAACACGTACGTGCTTACATTTACTAGCTTAGTGCATGCTGTGTATGCTGTTAATCAAAAAACAATCCAGATACAAGAACTGGATCCATGCTGTTGTCATCAACTCATTTCTCAAGGATGCAGCTATCATGCCCAGCACAACACATCGTTTTCACAACAGAACTTCTCTCCTCTTAAGAAGGAACCTAAGTTTCATAGGTATTTTGGTTTGCTGTTTAATTAATAAAATGGCTAAAGCACACACAAAAAGCTCAGTTACTTGTACATATTTAAGGTTCCTAGCTTAACTACAGAAAACACCTTGGTGATGAGGTCTCATCAAAAGTCTAAGTCCATACAGAAAAACAGTCCAGAAGTGTGTAACACATTGTCAAGGAAATTTATTGAAGTTTTAATACTCCTGAAAAAAAGGCAACGCTACACTCTAGCCTGGAAAACAATGGCCATTCTCAAGCATTCTTAGAAAGGCAACAATTCACAGAGCAAATATTATGCAGAGCACATGTCACCAGAAGAGAACAAAACAACGCCCTCCCCAAGTTAAAAGATAATAACAGAAAACAAAATAGAAGCATGGCAAAAAAAGAAAAAAAGACAGAGCAATAACAAGCCAGCGAGACCCCACAACTTGAAAATCAACATAAGACTGTCTCCAGTAAAGCCTCCACATACTAGTTAGAAAACACAGATTCAGGAAAAAAAAAATACCAGGAGGAGGTTTTTGGTTTAGAATCCTCTTACAGTAAGAAGCTGAAACATGACTACAGAACTATACTGTTACTGATGTATGAAAACACTACGTAACAGCTTCCCACACATGTATGATACACAAAAAACAAGGAACACAATGACAAGGTACTGTCTAGCTTAAATGCACTAATATTTCACACCACCACAGAAAACCCAAGCATGGTGCTTAACAACATCCTTTTAAACGTTATCATAACGTTACCATATTCTTACCACAACTTACAAGGAAGCACTTCCCTCTTGAGAGGCAACCTTTTTCAGACTATTATGTACGCAGGTAATTTTGTGAGGACTGGTCAGTACAGTGATAAAACAGTCTGTGGGTGGAGGAGTCCAGCTAATCTACAAGCACTAACATCTGAAGGTTTTTGGGGCAGACCACAAAAGTTGAAGGAACCTTGTTTCTGGTGACTTCTGTACCAAATCACACAATTTTGTTTTTTTACAGCTTTGACATCTTCAAAATGTTTTAAATCCACTACCAAAAACAGTGATTAACACGAAACAGTTGGTAACAGTAACAGCTTGGTAATTCAAAGTTGCACAGCTGGAAGTACAGAGATTACTTTCTTAATCCTCTGCCATAAACAACATAGAGTAACTACAAGCCAGTGGGCAAATCCAGGCTAAACAAAAGTCTTCAAATGACTAGCAAAAGATGCCTACAGATAAAGCCTAGATTGCCAATTGTTGTTTCTGAAAGTAATTCTCCCATTAGTATAGTTTTTTTACAAGAAATTCAACTTCTACTGATTTTTTTTTCTTAAAGACAGTTACAAAAAAGGCAGGGAAAAAGAAGAAATCAATATACAGCAATCCTGAAGCTAACAGGAAAAAAAACATTAATAACTCCACAGGATGGGAGGGCATGGGAGTGAGGGTGAGGGAGCAGAAATGAGGCAGCATTAGGGGATTAAAAAAAAAAACAAATCTGCAAAGCTGTTAGATACTCCTACCTGTTAGAAAACATCAACTTTCAGAAAAGCCTAAACCGTTACCGATGGTTTAATAACTGCATTTAAACTGGCAAGAACCAACTCTGGAATGATCTTCTTGCTGTGAATACGGAACCCTATGGGTAAACATTTTACTAACCAGAATTACATTTTACTGAAAGAAATCACCCAAACTGACTTCACACACGATTCGCCTCACAGTCAGTCACTGAACCGTTCGATATGTGGGGACTTCACAACCCAGGATCCATAACTATGTTGCTCTAAGTAGCTTTGCAGCAAGTTTTTAGCTTCTTGGTACAATTTAGACTGCATCTAAAAAAAAGAAAAAGAAAGATATTGAAAAATGTCAAGAGTGAAGCTGGCAGAGATCTGTGTTCTTTACCATCAGCATATAATATACACAAGCACAAACCTTGTAGAAAACAACACCTACAAATCTTACAGCTCCCTCAGTTGCTGACAGTGAGGGAAAAGTGTTACAAACTCTGAAACCATACTCTTTTTATATGTCTGGGCATTTATTGGGATGAGATAATTTTTCTGTTGAATGTTATTTTTTTCAGCATCTTTTCAGTTCCAATAATATCTTTATACAGAAAACAAACATTCACTGTCATTCAATGAAAATCCAAAGACATGAACAAACAGTTGATCAGCAAGCCATTTGATTTTAAAGTAGTTTTGAATAATTTTTAAAAAGTGATCCCTTGCATATTCTGACAGCAGGAAAAAAAGGGTATGTACTTTACAAAAGCTTAACTTTCACATCACGATTTTGGGAATAAAATATATCTCTTGAACCAAGGAGAGGAAAAACCTGGAAGAGTACAGAGAAGTAAGATGAGCCTACATATTTCCAAGTATGGACAGAAGTGAGTGAATTGTGTTTACAGCAATCAAGAAGCAGCTCCTTTAAGTAATTTCTCTGTACTTTTATACCACAAAGGAAAGCCTGGGACCTAATACTGTCTCCTGATGAACAATTCCTATTCTCCTACTCCTCTATGACCTAAAAATCCTCCCACAAGACTACAATGTGGTAGAAAAGTATCTACATGTGTATGAAACAAATATAAAAAGTAAGACTGAAAACAAACTAACGAACAAAAAACCCAACCTTTTTAACACGAAACTATTACGTGAGGAAAATGGTCAGCAACCTCCATACGCTGAGACAAAACATGGTAGATTTTCGAAGAGGATGTTTCAAGATTAATTCAGTAGATTGCTGTTTTCAAGTAAATTTAATTTCAGACATTCTCAGGCAAAGATTATAGGCAATAACAGAGATCCAGCTGCTCACGGTGAAGTCTTCAGCAAAACAGAAAGTCACCCTTGGCTATCAAACCAGCTTTAAGAGTAGCCATTAAGAGACTCCTTACTAACACTTCTCTCCCTGTACCAGCTCACCTTAGCTTCACAGTACGTTGCAACTTGAAGCAAATCGTTCCGTTCTGCTTCCTTAGCAAGCAATCTGAAACGATTAAACATCGCTGCCTTGCAAAGGCGACTTGCCATGCACGTGCCGCTTTTGAATGGTGAACTACAGTCAAAATGGAAAAAGAACAATAAAACTCAGTAACATATGTTACATGCATATGGCTTTGATTATTACATGATTTTCTCCCTCTAACACTTTGTGAATACGATCATGTGATTTTACTTCCATTTTCAATGAGCAAAGCTAATGCAAATCAGCAACTGTGAGAATTAAACAAGCCAACCAAAAATGGTTTTCAAACTGGAATTCATCTGAACTATGATGCTAAGTGGTTTTATGTCTTGTGAAAACTAAAACATTCATTACAACAGACAATGCAATAAAGATATCTCAATTCAAAGAACTATTTAATTTCATATCTTGGTATCTCACTGTGAAGTTACAAAGATCTTTAAAACTACATCTAATCATAGGATGCATTCACCTAACACAGGCAAGAACCTCCCTCGTTTGGGTAATACTGTGGCCTCCACGCGTAGTTTAAAACATGAATACTCCAACAAACTGGCACAAAACTCTAAGGCTAACCACTATTTCCAACATAATGAAGAAAAATTCTAACCTTTCAGTGGTTTTTCCATTTAACCCATCCACAACCTCCAGGGATGCATCTGACAATGACCAATTCAAACTAAGAGACTTCTGTTCAAAGTCAATTTGAATTGGGTGCGCAGCGTTCACCAAGTAAGTATGAGATCTGTTGACCACAAAAGGCATGGGAAGCTCTGATGTAAGTTCATCATCAACACGCTGTTTTATAGCTATTTCTAGCCCTGTTATATCCTCGCAATTTCCATCTCCTATTAAACAGAACAAGACCAGTCACACATAAGTACATCAAATTAAAAAAGAAAAGAAAGCAGCTAAGAATGCAGATGTTTCCATTGGTCTACATTATAGTAATTTTTCTACAGAAAATTGATGTTTGGAAAAATAAGTTCCAATATTCAGTTTGCAGAATAAAAATAATTTCACCGTTTTGTCTCCAGAGGCTAAATCATTATTTTCATGGGCTGCCTCCTTTTTGGAGCAATTCTTCTCCAACAACTCTTTACATTACTTGCAGAAAACACCATTAAAATAGAAGCTGCAACAAAAACTTTGGATTAGAAAACACACCAGGGAGTTTGCCCACGTTATTCCATGTCCAATAGTATTCCTGACTGTCTACTAAATAAACATACTTTAGTCCATAGCATCTCAAGGCATGGTCATAGAGTTTCTATTAAATAGAAGGGCAATACATTACAGATTATTATGTTTACTTTGAATACCAATTTAAGTGGGCATATTAGAAGTTTTTCTATTGCTTTTAAGTCAAAGTGTCCAAACTTCCTCAAAAGGACCAGGCACACATTCACCCTGTCTTGCAAGATCTTTTGGAGCCCTTCAAAAACCTTGTTCTGTGTTAGAAAAGGAAAAGCTGCTACATCTTCAATGTCTGGGGAACTCAGACACCTGTGTACGAAGCCTCATAATACAAATATCGAGAGGAAGAAACATCTGAAAACCTGCAGGGTAATACCCATTAATTTAATTCCACCACATAAGTAAAAGCTACTGAAATGAATTCTGGTAACAGTATGGTCTTCCTGATTGCTACAAAATCCTGAGAATTTACTATCACCTTGGCATTCCCTATTTCTCAACAAAACATCTATTTGCAGTAACCAATACAAAAGGTGGGGGGAGACGCAGACCACGGACACAACACAAAACTGAACAAAGACTTTCCAGTAGAGCTCGCAAGATACCCCAGGATGAAGTTGAGCATTTTCAGTTACACACTGGCAGTTTTTCCACCACTGCTCAACTCTACAGTTAAGTGACTGTTTCCTTAAAGTCACCACATTTGACTGAACAGTGAACACAGCATTTGTCACACCTGTTTCATTTCTCAATATTTAAAATTTAATTTGTTATAAAACAATGCTGAATTTCTTCTATTACTCTAATACACAGTAAAGGAAGGGCAATCTGGCAAGCTAAACCAAACCCAAAATGACAAAAGAGCAAGCCTGAGTTTTACATTAAGGTATTTCAAAGATGAGTGAAAAAAAATACACGTTTAGTACCTTTTCAGAAAAATACTGTAATTCTTGAAAGAACCGTCCTGGTTTAGTTCACGTTTTATAAAACATAATTGCAATGGAAGATGAAAACACACAAAAACTCACTGAAATTTGCATTAAGCTTACCTACAAGAATACTGTTGATATACACTGGTTCAATGAAGTGACTCAGCAACGCTCCCTGAATACCAACCACTTCCCATTTCGTTAATTTGTCACTAGCTGACATACTGCTTGCTCTAACACTTTTAGGTGGACAACAAACAGCTAGGTAAATCTTGCCCTCTACAGCAACATGGAGGCTCAGTTCTTCATGAGCTTCGTAAGCAGATACAGACTGTGGACTGAGATGTCTAAAGGAAGACGAGAAAACAAATTTCAGTGAGAAAGTGCTCTAATCCAAGATTACTGTAAAGTGGTACCTAATACCGTTTCTCAGAGAACAATTATCAACAGATCTGGGACTTACATTATGTACAATATTTGTAAATTTTAGAAAGGCCACATTCAGCTGCTCAAGTGACTAGAATACTGAAACGTGCATTTAAATAAATAGCAATTCAACCTAATCTTAGCCATCAGTTGTGCCAACATTAAAGAAGATCTGCATATGCTGCAAACAAGCTATCACTTGGTGTCTACTTGCACTATGACAGAAGTTACTTGGAGGCTGTTCATCTTGTGAAAAAGCAGCTCTAAGGTTATTAAACTCCTTTGAAGACAGAACTTACACTGCAAAGTCTTGAAAATATTTAAAACACGCAGATGCAACACTTTAGGGAAACAAAACACCGACTACTCTGAAGCAAAACATAGTTTTTCCCCTCAACTAAAGAGGGACAAGTCAAAGCCTGAAGTTTTGAGCTAACTCTCCTCAATTTTATCATAACTTACAATGTTATGATCAAAGGTGCTTTTGTTTTATTACATTATTATAAAGCAATCATTTAATTTTGGCTTAAGTCACATACTACCACCTGTTAATAAATGGCCACATTTTGCTGCTTAATGAATTACTTGCAAGTAGCTCTCCTCTAAAAACTGTCTTTAAATAACTCTATACATAAGCACATCTACTGTATTACAAGAAAATACTTCCCAGAGTTTCTCTCAAGACAGCACGCAACAGAAGAGACAAAAAGCAAGAGAAAAAGTGCTGAATCTGTGATCCGCCAACTATTACAGAGTAGCTTACAAACTGCAACCAGTCTCATCAACCATTTCCTTCCCAGAGCAGCCTATGACTCTGGAAGTAATTTAAAGCCTTCTGCAATTCTAACAAGAGGGTCCCCCCAGCCAGCACAACTTGCGATGAACTGGCTGTGACTCCCAGTTCACAAGTCTGTCTTCCCAACACCCCAAACACAGCAGGAAAGCAGCTAGCTGTGTCTTGTACGTATGAAAAAGCTATGACTGAACCACTTTTAGGAACGCTATTCCTCTGCACCACTGTAAGGGACACGACACAAAATAACGCTGTTCATAATAACTCGGTAAACCAGCGACTGCTGATGTTAAATGTCAAAATTATTTAAAAAAACTCAATTTTCAGAAATTTAACAAAAGTTAGTACTGTAAAGGTAAGCATAGAAGCACAGCTGTCCCATCAAGTTTCTATCATTGCTCTTTTTCTACAAAGCAGAGCAGGAGGATATTGTTTCAATCCAAGGCTGTTTACACTCTAGTCCTGTGGTGTAAAGGACGACATTAAGTCACCAAATCCACTTGCTCAGTAGTTAAATTAATGATTTATTAGTATTTCAGAAGTGTCTTGGGACATCTCAGAAAAGTGTAACAATGCATATTTTCCACGCTCACAATGTGTCTGTCACTGCAAACAAATTAATCTTCCACTACATCTCTGAAAACACCAACGTACTTACATCTCCGATTTTAACCGAGCAGTTCCTTTTGGAAGCTGATTCATGTAGAGAAAGATAGCTGTGTTTTGCTTTAGAGTAAGCAGCTTTGAGCCTGGTGCTGTACAAAATATGGATTTCTCTGTCCTCACTGGATTTCCCGTATAGAACAGCAAAAGATGTCTATAAAAATACCTAAAAGAAAGCGTTAAGTAACAGTAAATGTGAAAAAAACTATTTGTTTACAAATACATGGACATTCACATTTAATTCACATTTTGAAAATAATCCAGAAGGCACTAACTATAAAATGCAAGCGCACTTACATTGACATTTGCAAAAGTAAAACTGAGAAGAACAGGCTACAAGAGAACTGACAACAGTCTGTACACACGGGCTCACCGAAGCAGAGAACGCCTTGCAGCAACAATGGCATGGCTGTCATGCAACACTCTTCCACAAGACTGAAAGCACTGACTGTAATTACATTCTCCTGTTCCCAGAGCTACAACTTCATGCCGTCCACCTAAACAGAAAACATTATTTTTACGTGGTGGTGGTGAGTTAACCTTGTCTGGCTGCCAGGCACCCACCAAGCTGTTCCCTTATACCCTCTGTCCCCTAGCAGGTTGGGCTCGATGATCTTAAAGGTCTTTTCCGACTTAAATGATTCCACGGAAAACTAAAATCAAAAAGCTTGTAGGTCAAGATACAGACACAGAGATCACTTGCCATTTACCATCATGTGCAAAACAGACTCAAACAGGGGGAAGATTAATTTCATTTATTGCCAATTAGAGAAAGATAGTGAGAAACCAAACCAAAACTAAGAACATCTTCCCCCTACTCCACTTTCCTCCCAGGCTCAACTTCACTCCCAACTCTCCTACTTCCTCTCCTCCCTGCCTGAGTGGCACAGGGGTATGGGGAAGCACCAGTTCCTAACACTTTGTCTCTGCCACTCCTTCCTCCTCATGCTCTTTCCTCGCTCCAACATGGGATCCCTCCCACAGGATACAGTCCTTCACGAATCACATCAGCCTAGGTCCTTCCCACTGGCTGCAGTTCCTCAGGAACTGCTCCATCGCAGGTCTTTCCCACAGAGCGCAGTCCTCCAGGAACAGCATGTTCCAGCAGAGGTCCCCCACAGGGTCACAGGTCATGCTAGAAAACCTGCTCCAGTGGGGACTCCTCTGCATGGACCACATCTCCTGCCAGAAGTCTGCTTCCGTGTTGGTTCTCCACAGGGTGCAGCTTCCTTCAGTGCATATCCACCTGCTCTGGCCTACAGTGGTCTATACAGCCTCACTCCTCTTTGAGACAGCACAAGGAAATGCTTATGTAAGTCCCGAATATTTGCATGACTGTAGCACAATTATGCATGCGACAGAGCCATCAGAACAGAGTATGTGAAGGAAGGACAGCTACCCCTTTACATTTATTTACCAGATGGGAAAGGCTTAACCAAGGCTCTCTGGGAACACAGGGAGCCCAGGTTTTCCACTCCCCAACACTCCCGATCAAAACAGACTTGCCTTTTTCAATGATGAAGGCAGCCAGTGAACTGCCACAACTCCAGTACTCAGGATGTTTGGCAATTAGGCTGTTAAATACTTCTCCAAGCATTTGTGAAAGTTTTTGATATATAAGTTGTCTTCCCTCTAAATAAAAGAATAAAAACCAGCACGACACAAATTTGCAACGTGGCGGGGGGGGGGGGGGGGGAAGACATGATCAACCACTTGTCAAATTATAAATCTAAACACATGGTAAAAGCACTACTATCAACATACACTTTTGGGATTCTGAAGATTATCAGGACAGACATGAGTAAACAAAAGACAAGAATATTTATGCTTTTATTATTCACGATAATACATCAGGGATATGGATCGAGTTTGATCACCTATAGCACACAGTACTGAAAGTAAGGACAGAAATACTGCTTCTATCTGTCACCAATTCACCAAAATCCAAGCAATTTACTGAACTTGTGTCCATTTGTAGAACCCATGGTCAATCTCCTACTTTAGTGACACTAAATCTTACAGTGTTCAACACAGAAAAGATGTTTAAAATAACAGTAACCTCATAGAGATCACTAAATACATTAAAAGAAGAATTAAAAAAAAAAATATAAAAAAGAGCAAGCATTTGTGGGCAATATGAATCAATAGAGAAAACCAAGACTATTCCTTACCAAAATACATCCTTGAAACACGAACAGAGTTTGCTGGAGTTTGGGGCTCAACAGGAATACAGTGAAGATCTAAGAATTCAACAAAATTTCAAACTGGGATGGACATTCCAAATTTCAAAACACAGATCTCACACTATTTCTAGCAAATTAACGTTTCTAATTCTCTAAGAATTTTCTTTTCTGATTTTGAAGTTCTTGTAAGCGTAGCAGTATTCAGGCAGCAACCCTTAAAAGAAGATAAAGGTAACTGAATCCTTCTGAAAGCAGTAACCTAGTGTTGAAGCCTCTTTATCATAAAAATCCGAAACCACTTCGGATCAACTTCATATTGCTGTTACCTAGTGAGCAGCAAATCAAGTGCAACAGCAACAAATGAATTAATTTCTTCAGTATTCTCTACTCTGTGCTACAAATTGATGCAATTCCTAACACACAACAGACAAAGGAAAAACAAGGAATTTCAGAACCATCGGACAAACGGCTCTGCCCAAAGGATTCAAGAAAACTGACAGAGGCCCTGATACAGAAGCATTTAATAAAACTACCCAGAGATTTTGCATAGGAAACCGTTAAGTAAAGCTTTTCAATTTCTAATTAGGTGCTGACAGAATACTTACCCGACTTTTCAGAAGCCTTTGCCCCTTTATTCTCCAAGGTAAGTAGCTCATCAAGAGCAAGTTTAGCTGCATTTGATCTAGACTCCTTCTTGTTTTTTCCTAGTCCCTTCTTGTAGCAAACACCATCCACCACAGCACAAAATGCAAAATAAGGCCTTATCATATCACCTTTAAAAGAAGAAAGAGAGACACACTTAGTGAAATTATCTTAAGGTATTTTTATCCATAGCTTTATGTGCTTATATTCATTCCAAGAACAAGTATAATACAAAAAGACAATTTTAGCACAATAGAATTCAAAACCTTTCAGCTCCAGAAGAATTATGGCAGCTTTCACTTTTCACAAAGTTCTGGTAGCAGCCAGGATTTTACACAATTCATCTGATCAAATTCTGCAGTAATTAATTATGAGACACAGCTGTGTAGACAATAAACAGGCAGCCAAAAAGCAACATATCTGGAGGGTAGTGTAACTGACAACAAAAAAGAATCACCTGTACTGCTGCCATCTATACTAGCTGCAGAAATTCAGATCACCTCAAGGACAAGCAAATATTATTTTATTTAAGAAAAGAAATAGTATTTACCTCCCGCACCAGTTTCTTTCAATTCGAGTCGCACGTGGAACATTTGTGCAAACTGATGCAAAGCCGACACTGGGTTTATTGCTCCCTGTTTGTATCTGGCAATAAACTCCTCTAGATCTTTCTTTGAGGGAATTACTGATAACGGGGGTGCATAGGTTGCTTTCCAATGTAAAGGTTCTGAAACAGAATTAAGAAAAGAACTGAAAACACTCTCAGTTTAAATCTGTTTACAATAAATGCTTTTAGATGCTTCTTAGAAGAACGAAAAGCAAAAACATTTACTTTAGAGCAATATTGCTTTGTACTGAATCCTACATTAACAATACTAGCAATTCTGAAACGTGTACCTCCTCTTTTAAAAACATCAAAGTTTTTGCTTTGAGCACTACGTTCATTTACCTCTGAATCACACGTCTATCACATGTAAACACAACATATACTCCCTCTCTCCCCCCTGCAAACAGGTGATCAAATGAAAGTTGCTGATGGCAGATTCAGAACACTGGAGCATGTGGTTTTTCACACAAAACTATGAAGCAGAGGAACTCCCTGTCATAAGACACTATAAAAGTTTTAGCAACCACACAAGTTATTCAAAAAGCAGATAACTCATTCAAAGAAAAAGAAACCCACCCACAAAGAGCGGCCGCACACCGAGACAGCACCTCTGGCTGAGGTGGCCAGGACAAAACAGGGGCAGAGCTGCACAACACACCCACCCTGGCCCTGCAGGTCCCCTCCACGTCCACGATTAACCCCACCTGGAACCACGACAGTGGATGGGCGAGTATTTCATCTGTCCTAATACACAGCCCTTACGCTCTTCGGAGGGCAACGTGAAGCCAGTTAGTCAAGTCATAAAAGACCTCCACAAATTCTGAGAAGTAGTCCTGAGGCAGACCCACACTTCTGTGTTTTGTTCGAAAGACAAAACTTTTCCAAGGAACAAGCTATACCGAGGCAGCTGCCTGAACTGGAGCTCTCCTACAAAATAACCAATTAAGATTCCCTGCAGGATCTACTTCTGTGAAGGATTGGTCTGTTCTTTTAGATTTAAGAGAAAAAAATGACATCTTTTTCCCTGTATCAACTTTAGGATGGATGGAATCTTCAGCTTCAAGGTTGCCATATACTCAGGCACAAGCATCTCGCAGCCAAGAAGAACCCAAACAAACTGTTATCTCCACGTCTCAAATAGATGCCTTTACCTCACTCAACATCCGAAGAGACAGAATTCAAAATACATCCCGGGACACGTGGAACTGCAGTTAAAACTCTTATCAGCAACAGCTATAAAAACTCCTGCAGCAGTACACATCCTATATTTTGGCAACCTCTACAGCCTTTTTAATGGGTAACTTAGAATTTATAATTGCAAAACACTGCAGACTACATAGCCCACCCTACAACAAATCTCTAACAAACTTCCAGTACAAAAGGACATAGGAAGACGAGGAATAAGTTCAAGCGGACGCTAAAGAAGTCATTTAAGAAAATCCAGCAATAAGAAATAGCAGCAGAGGGTTGCAACCTTTCAGAAAATCATGAAGTTATATTCACTAGCATTGACAGTGCATGTTAATAGCTAATCCCAGTATAAACTGAAAACTATACCTGGATATTGTGTCACCTTTGGTACACTGCACCTCTCAGAAGGCTGAAATTTCGGCCTTACGGACTGAGAAAGCTTCTTGGAAGGCGGCTGCCCAGGAGCCCAAGGTGGCAAAGCCGTCTTTCGCAGGGGGTCGGGGGTGCGTGCCTCAGCACGCTGAAAGGAGCCGCTGCTGTTCGCCATTTCTGAAGGACCTAAGTTTAACAGCAAAGTTACGAGGTGTTAACGGGACGCTGCGAACTCGGGTTGTTAGTTCAGCCGTTTCACCAAAGCACAACAAACAACTGGCGCTCTGCTCTCCTCACAGAACGAGGCGAAAGAACCGGGACCCAGCGCCGCTCCCATCCCTCCCCTTCCCCAGGTAAAGCCGCTTCTCCGGTTAGTCAACCATCTTCTCCACGCTCAGCGGAGCTCTGCGCCTCGCCTTACAGCCACCTCG